AAATGTTTAGCCAGCAACTTAAATATTTAACTTTAATATTTAGCTAGCTACCTCAATATTTAGGTTGCAACTTACATATTTAGGTAGCTAGCTAAATATTAAAGTTAAATATTTAAGTTGCTGGCTAAACATTTAGCTCAAAACTAAATATTTAAGTCACAACTTAAATATTTAACTTTAATATTTAGCTAGCTACCTAAATATGTAAGTTGCAACCTAAATATTGAGGTAGCTAGCTAAATATTTAACTTGTGACTTAATTATATAGTTTTGAGCTAAATGTTTAGCCAGCAAGTTAAATATTTAGCTAGCTACCTCAATATTTAGGTTGCAACTTACATATTTAGGTAGCTAGCTAAATATTTAACTTGCTGGCTAAACATTTAGCTCAAAACTAAATATTTAAGTCACAACTTAAATATTTAACTTTAATATTTAGCTAGCTACCTAAATATGTAAGTTGCAACCTAAATATTGAGGTAGCTAGCTAAATATTTAAATTGCAAGCTAAACATTTAGCTCAAAACTAAATAATTAAGTCACAAGTTAAATATTTAGCTTGTTAACTAAATATTTAATTTGTAAGTTAAATATTTAGTTTATAAACTATGAAATTTATAAATGTATGACTCGTGGTGAAAAACTGACTGAAAAATAAATCTGTTCTTTTCTTCTTATAAAAGGCTCAATAAAACAAAAATATTGTTGGTAATTTTTGACTGTGTAACTTTACAAACGGCACCTCATATAAATCCAAAATATATTTTGGTGAATTGTCATAATTTTAAAAAAAGAAGCACTTATTACTGGACAGAAAAGCCTTTATAAACACAAAACATCTCATTTTAAACACTATCAGTGAATCCAAACACAATTTGAAATCGATGTCATTTAATACTTTTAATGACAGTGACATCATTTAAACTGAACTCGAGATAATCTTTCCTCAAAGGCTTGAAATTTTTAATTACAGCTTCACCACAAATCAAAAACAAGTCAAAACATTGTGGTCTGACTGTAACCTGAGACTGATAAGATGCACTTAATATGAACCAAAATAGAGCCATAAAACATGGTTCCTGCTCCGTGTTGGACAGGAATTATTTGGTTAAAGGCAAAAATAAAATWAAAAARCTACAGTAAAAAGACTGGAAGCCTGGAATGTTCTCTTATCTGTGTAAACATGCCAAAGCTGCTTAACTAAACAGCCACATATAAAACACATCAAGGATAAAAATCTGCTTTACTGAACAACAAA